TGTTAAATATCCGATTCCCAGAGGTTGAAATTGCGTGTGCTTTTGCGGGAATTCTCCGATGTTTTCAGCAACAGCAAATTTGATATTGGGCGCACTAATCTATTGAGCCATCACATTGATATGGGAGATGCCGCTCCCATTCGTCAAAATCCATTTCGCCTCAGCCCGGCTGAGAAGGAACATGTTCGGTTGGTCGTCAACGACATGTTAACCATGGACATTATATCCCCATCTACCAGCCCATGGGGAGCCCCAATTGCCCTCGTCAAGAAGCATGATGGCTCTTTGAGATTCTGTGTAGATTTTTGGAAACTTAACAAAATCTTCGTAGTAGATTCGTATCCGCTTCCTCGAGTTGACCAGTCACCGGATGCCTTAGCGGGGGAACGATATTTTTCTACACTGGACCTTTTGTCCAGATTTTGGCAACTGACCTTGGATGAGACATCCAAACCTAAAACCGCTTTTCACATGCCACAGGGCCTCTTCGAATTCAATCGGCTGCCCATGGGCCTCCACTCGGCCCCAGCGACGTTCCAGCGTCTCATGGAACTGGTTCTCGCTGGGCTCCATTGGGATTCAAGTCTCATTTACCTCGATGATGTAATTGTCTTCAGCTGTACATTCGAGGAACATATGGATTGTCTGCTGCTTATATTCGTTAAAATGCGAGCAGCTAACCTCAAATTTAAACTGGAAAAATGCCACCTCTTGCGGGAACCGGTGCGTTACTTGGGACATATTGTCAGCCAGTCGGGCATTGCGACTGACCCTGAGAAAACGAGCTGCGTGCCTACTCGCACTTCTGGGGTAGAAGTGAGGAGTTTCATTGGATTTGCCTCATATTATCGACGATTTGTTGTGGAATTTGCGTCGATAGCAAAACCCCTTCATGCCCTCACGGCCAAGGGGCAAAATTTTCATTGGGGACAGGAGGAGGAGGCCACATTTAAAGCAATGCGGGATGCCCTTGTGAATGTCCCTCCCCTGTTTTACCCTGACTTTGCACGGCTGTTTATTCTCGACACAGATGCCAGTATTACAGGCATCGGCAGTGTGCTGTCCCAGGTCATCGACGGGGTCAAAAGGCTTGTTGCTTATGGCAGCAGGGTTTTATCTCCGGCAGAGCAATACTACTGTGTAACTCGATATGAGCTGTTGACCATTGTATTTTTTATCCAGCAATACCGGCCGCATTTGTACAGTAGGCATTTTACAGTACGTTCCGACCATGCACCGTTACAATATGCTTTGAGGATTAACCAACCGTCCGGTCTTGCAGGACTACTCGTTTACGGTAACCTATTGGAAAGGAACTAAACACTTGAATGCCGACGCCTTGTCGCGGCTTCCCGCTGGCGACAGGTGTGCGTGCTTTTCGGGTTCCGGCTGATGCAAACAGCCCGTTGTTCCTATGCACCCCATGCCACTCACTGCTGCAGCTGAGGTGGCTGCTCCTGGGGGTGGCTCCTCTGAGGAGCCGAACGGGCCGTCCGCTAGAAATGTGTTGCTCGATTTATGCCTCGCGGACTGGGGGCGCCTCCAAATGGAGGACGCCTCCCTACTTATGTTACGCCGCCATGTTGAGCGGCTTTGGAACATAAGAGGTGGCGAAGGATTCACGTCCATCATTCTGCGTGATGGGCTTTTGATGACCTGGGATGGTAGCTCTCGCCATTATAAACTGATTGTACTGACCACTCTGCGCGGAAAGGCCGTTTGGGATGTTCATGAGCGCCTCTTGCATCTCGGAGTCCCCAAATCGCTCGCCACAATGCAGCTCAATTTTTTTTGGCCAGGTATTGCGAAATATGTGTCTGATCTGCTCCTGAGCTGCACCCAATGTGCCAGGCGGAAGCCACCGGTTAGGCCATCGTGCCCGCCCTTACAGTCCATTCGAGTGTCCCGCATCAACAAGTTGGTGGGGCTTTTTCAGCCACCTCCCGAGGTAATAAGTACCTGCTGGTTCGGGTGGAATATTTCACCCGCTGGCCTATGGCCTGGCCACTCCCCAACCAGTCAGCAGCAGCCATTACCGAGGCCTTTCTCCAGGGCTACGTCCTAAGCAAGGGTGCTCTGGAGTGGCTGCTGACCGACCAGGGAGGGAATTTCTCTTCCACTCTATTGAAGGACATGTGCAACCTCCTGGGTGCACACTTCCCCGTACCACCCTCAAACCAATGGAATGGGTGAGCATTTTCATTGGATGCTCACCTCAATGCTGTGCAACCAGTTGGTGAGTCTAACTAGATTGGAATCTCCACATCCCCGGGGTCCTGGCAGAAAATAGGATGGCACTTCACGCGGCGACCGGGTACTCGCCATTCTATCTCATGTATAGCCGCGATGTCAATCCCCCAGTGGATGTGCAGCTACACGTCACACCGTCCGCCTCAAAATCCAAATTGTCAGACCACGTCTGTTTAAATATTCAGAAAATAACTGAGGCACGGGATGCTGCCAGGGAAATTCTGAGGTGAGGCAGTTGGCCAACGAAAAATGTCAGGGCTGCCGTGTATTCGTGCACATGTGGGCTGAAGGAGACCAGGCCTGGCTCCATAGCCTCCAGGTTCCCAAGGCAACATCTCCGAAACTGCTCAGACCCTGGAGGGGGCCGGTCGAGGTCGTCCGGGTCATTCGCCCCCAATGTGTCAAAGTCCATTGGGGAAGGCGGTCTTGGCACGTCCACCTGTCGCGTCTGAAAACCTACGTCACGCCACGCACTTTCACATGATCTTCACGTCACAGGGGCTGTAGGTGTGATATGTCTGATGAGACGGAGTGTGCATCTGCAGAACCTAACCCTAAGACGAGCAGTCTTGTCCTACACTCAGATGCTGCGGGATTGAGGCCTTCAAGTCCATTGACCTTGGCCACCCCTGATGCTGAGCGCCCAGCCGCCCCACCGGATGGGGCCCTAATGAGCCCAGCCTCTTCTGACCCGCCCTTGTGGGCTGTTCCCCACACAGAACTAGTTTCTGCCGAGCTGCCACAGAGACCTTGTGGCTTGTACGATGGTCCTGCTACGCGGACCCGATCCAAGACCCCCCGGTTTTCATGATTCTCCTATGTTCCCACACGCCCACGCCACGTACTTACCCTTCCATCAGATTTATTTCTTGTTTGGGTTTTTTTTCGCCCTGGATTTCTCGACAGTCGGTCACGTTGTGGCAGTTGTCGATCGTGTGTGAACCACGGGATGTGGGCGGTCGCGCGTGCACCATCGTATTCACTTTTATATTTGCAAATAATGTAAACTTGTACAGGTGGACTGGGGTATTCATATGGGTTCTTTATTGTTCATTGATTGTTGTTTTGTTGAGGCATACGTGCTTGTTGTCATGTTGAAGGTTTTTAAGGGGGGGGGGGTTGCTGGCAGCCGAGATGACTGAGTGCTACGAGGGGGGGGGGGTAATGTAGTGGGTGTTGATAGCATTATACGCGCCAGCCATGGGTCAACAGGGGGCGACTGTGAGTCGGTCTGCATTAAGTAATGCCGTTAGGCCAGGGAACCCAGAGGGTGGTTGTGAACCAGAGGTATACACCTTAGGCCCCCAGTGGGGGCTGGGGGGGATTGCACAATAGTTCAGGTCCCTCCAGAAGGTTCCAGAGAATAGGCGTGGCCAGGGGCGGCGTGACCCTGAAACCATATATAAGCCGGACCTCTGGACGGGTCAGTCGTCAAACTGAAGACAAAAGAGCCAGCTTAAACTAGGACCCTGGGAACCCATGGACCTGATGTCCTTCTAAGGGCCGGGACTGAGTGGGCCAGTGGTCGGACCCTGGGAACCCCTGGGACCCGACGTCTTTCTAAGGGCCGGGACCGAGTAGGCCAGTGGCTGGGACCCGATGACCTTGGCTGGGTCGGGTCAGCTAGCCTCCCCTAGGTCCCCCTAGCCTGAGGGCTGATATACATAGAGGAAGTGGTCCCAGTGATGAGGACATGCTAGCCCAGAGGCTATACCTCCCCAGGGTATCGGGTGGAAGGGGCCGATACCCCTTTGTGTCAGGGACCTTGTGTTACCGTTATGGTTACCACTACACATATATACACATCTCATGTTTACATTCATTGTGGCAGCTCTTGACCGAATTCTAAAAAATGTCTCTTCTTGTTATTTTGGTCACTCAGGTCTCTCGTGGTGGGCAGATAGTTGGGGAGGGCCAAGCCACCAACGACAACACTTGGCCACATCTGCCGGCTGGGTCGTAGCTCAGTGGGCTTTCCCCAGGGCAGTAAACTTATAATTCTTCTCATTCTGAAGTGTGTGTAACAGTAGATGAGTGGGAGGCTGGATGAGTGAGTGAGTGGGTGTTTAAGTGGGTGAGTGTATGGGCGAGTGAGTGTGTGTGAGTGCGTGTGTAATTGTGGTGGTTAGCATGCTACGCTATTAACCTGGAGATACTAGTTCGATTCCTGCTCATGGCCAACACCAGTGACGATTATCTGAACTGGTCCTGGGCCTCCCCTAGGTCAACTCTGCCTCAAATGAGTACCTGGTGTGGTGCTTAATAACATCGCCACTAGAGAGACAAAGGCGGCCGGACGTGGTGCTGGCCACCCACCCCCTCGTGTGCAGTGCCAGCCTTCATAGGTGCTCGCTAACAGCACTTGCCCCAACAGTCTGTTAAGGTTAGACAGGAAATCTTTGTCTTTGTGAATTTTTGGAATGCTTTGATGATGTCTGCCGGCCGAAACCCCCTTGAAAAAATAACTTTTTAGCTCAATGGGCTCGACTCAAGGAAGTTAATTTCTGGATCTTCTGAAAACCCGTGAGGAGCAGCCATCAGGCTTTGTTTAGCTGCCAAGATGCCTGTGCATCGCACCACACTGTGCCTCAACACGTTAGAGGGGCATCGTGGTGTGATAAAGCCCGGACCACTTGGGGAGGGGAGGGGGATGTAGAAAGAGGTATGGAGGACGCGTATACAATAGCCGTACATGCGAATATGAAACAACGCAGGTGAAATAGGTGGTGGGTACGGCTGTGAATGCTCGGAATGGGACTCTCCATTCTCGGACAAGGTGAGAGTGAGAGACGGCGACATCACCAGCAGTGGGAGATGGAGGCAGGTAGAGTTGGTGATAGAGTCACACTGCTAACAAAAGGCTCACGATTCCAGGATGGGTCTCGGGAGTCGATAGACAAATTCCATCTCGGATGCCACAATGACATTCAAGCAGCTTGTCACATTGAGGTAATTACTCGGAGATAGAATTACAGGACACAAACTCTAAGGCTCACTGAGCTATGTGGCTCTTTGTCAGAAGCGACGTGGCTATCACAAATGAGAGCACAATGAAGTGGCTTGTGTGGAATTAATTGCAGCAAAATACTGTAAATGCATGATGTTGATTCTAAATGTGGAGGGTAAACCGGAAGTCCCAGATACAAATTCCCGCGACCAAGGGGAGAGAGAGAAAGATGCTAACTTTAAATATAAAGCAGCCGTAAGGCGAGCGAGATAACATTTCATAGCCACGCTAGCACCCAATTCATTGCTCTGTCTTACCATAAACACCAACTTGTACGCTGAGCTCTGGAAGGACCAGTTGATCTCTTGATACTCATCTCATAAATGAGCCACCGTAGCTGAGCCTCACCGATTTATATTAACACCAATTTCTTCAAATGTATATATTTGTTAAAATATTAGATTTATTTGATACATTTTGTTCATGTCAAGGTGTGTACTGTAACCATGTTAACCTTGAATCTGCTGTTTGCGCACCAAGGGCATGGGTTCACATTCCGTGCAGTGGTCTCGTGATGTCAGTTTCGACAATGAAAACATTTTACGTATTTACTTCCTTCTCCACCGTCGCTATAAGAGAGAGGTCCTGGTTCAGCGTCTCTCAGAGCCACAAAGCGAGATATCACAGTGAAGCCATGGGTCATGGCGAGCGTGACTCCCAGTGAGAGTGTGGATAGTGAGCTGCGCTGCTCCATCTCCCTGGCCACCTTCGTTTGCCCTTCCACGCTGAGCTGCGGACACTCGTTCTGCCTGCGGTGCCTGGAGGCTGCCACAGAGACGGCGAGTAGCTTCAGCTGCCTACAGTGCCCAGCAGCCTTCCCTGTGTGACCCCAGCTGAGGAGGAACATGGCCCTAACCAACCTGGTGGAGCAGCTCAGAGTTGGAGATGGGATGGCCACTGCCGTCTTGTGTGACATCTGCAGTGATGACCACACTCCTGCAGTGAAGACCTGCCTGAGATGTGAGATGTCCTACTGTTTTTCTCACTTTAGGCCTCACATGGAGAATCCCAGGTTGAGAGACCACGCTGTGGTGGATCCCACTGTGAGCTTGGACGAGAGAAGATGCCCGAATCACAAAAGAGAGCTGGAGTTCTACTGCACAGTAGACAGCAGCCTGGTCTGCTTTACCTGCACTATCGCAGGTGAACACATAGGACACAAGGTCCTGATGCTGAAGGACGAGCACGAGACACGAAAGGTGAGGCCCTTAGAGCGAGACACCATAACACGATCTGACCAATTCTGTCACTCGCCTACACAACTTCTGATAAACAATAACTATCGTGTGTTCATGCTCTCCCTATTGAATCTCTGTCTCTATGAAAAAGAGCCTCAAGATGTATTGAATCCTGGGATTTAATTTAACATAATTGCATATAATGTAATTAAGTGGACGGAGTTTTGAGACTGATATCACAGCCACTTGATAAACAATTAAATTAGATTTATCATGGGCCCGTGTGTCCGAGTCGGTACGGACACCAAGCCAGCACGGCTCCCACCGGCTGTTGCTACAACGAGGCATCAGCTTGCCCCCTCCCCTTGTCCCCCATCTCAGTCACCGTACAAAGGCAACGTGGAGATGAGGGCCTTCGCTGTGGAGGGGTTGGTGTGGAGGGAAGAGCAGTGTGAGGGGTGGCTCAGGGGGCTGGAGTCTCCCCCAGACGTCTCGTCTCTCACTACAGACACACGTAGGGGAGGAGACGCGAGCAGTGGAGGAGAAGAGGAAGAAGGCGGAGGAGTCCCTGAAGCAGATGGAGGCGGCTCGTAAGGAGGCGCAGGTACCGTGTGCGGGCCTGGCTCTTTGACCCCCGTGACCTCCACCCAGTGTGGAAGTCGTGGAGGTCGAAATTAATTCAAGCGAATTTAGTGCAGCTTCATGACTTTGACGCCTCTTACTAAAACTATATCATTCACTTTCAAACTCAACATTAACTACGAAGGGGTTGCACGTTTACGGCATTCGATAGCTGCATCGGCGAGTCTGCTACGAGGTCGGGTTACTCGGCATCGCGTTTTCAACTCCTGTGGCAAAAAAAATATCTAGAGAGTGCCACGCATTGTCTGAGTGGAGCTGTGGTGCAGCTGTTGCGCTGCACCGGAGGTCGCGCACCGGCACGGACGCAGAGGCACGAACAGCTGCACTTCACACTGTCCCTCATCGCGTCCCTGGAGTCTATTTAAACTGCAACTATTTTTTTTATTTTACCAAGTACGTCTTTACTGAACTAAAGTAACTATTTTCAGAAGCGACCCTGGCTGTCACAAATGATAGCAGCTAAACAAAGTGGCTGACATCATCAACACGTGAAAGAATATAGCAGCAAACCCATAGATATACAGGGTGTTTTAGAATACTGGACCAGATTTGAAATCGCTATATCTCTGCAACCACAAACCGCCCATGAATGAAACTCTTACCACTTGAAAAGGCGGGGCATAGAGTCTCAAATGTTTACTGCTAGATGCCTCTCCCACTACACAAACATCCCCTAGCCTCAGTCATTCGCAAGACACAGTGCCTCAACTTTGGATAGGTTGCACGGGACCCCAAGACTTGGCGCTAAACTCTTGGCCCCCAAGATCCCCAGACATCACTACACCGTGACTTTTTCTTGTGGGGATACGTCAAAGACCGTGTTTTTGTGCCACCATTAGCGACTAATCTGGATGACCTCAAAAACAGAATCACGGCAGCGGTGACTTCAGTGGAAGAAGACACTTTGAGAGGCGTTTGGGACGAATTCAACTATCGTCTCGATGTTGTCTGTACAGCAGGTGGAGGGCACATAGAGCATTAATAAAATGGTTAGTAAAACTTTATAACTCATTAAACCGTTTGAAACTTTTCGTGTAATTGTAACATGTTGCCATCGTGAAATATACTGCTTTGAAATTGGGTCCATAATTTTAAACACCCTGTACATAGCGAACCATAGAGATACAGAGACCCATAGTGACAGATAGAGAACCATATATATACATAGGGACAAAAGGAGATACATAGATACCCATCGTCTAAACTATTATTATTATTTTACCAGGTAAGGCCCCACTGAGCTATGTAGCGCTTTTTCAGAAGCGACCTGGGAATCACAAATTATAGCTCAACCAAGTGGCTTATCAGATGGAAATTGATAGCAGCCAATTACTCTGAATGCTTGATGTTGTTTCTAAATGTGGAGGGAAACCCCGGAGGACCCGAAGAAAAATCTAAGCGACCACAGGGAGAGAGATGCAGGCTCCAAATAAACCAGGCGAGGTAGTTAACATCTCGCCACATCTCGTCAAATCTCGTCAAACCCGGCCATCACAAATTATAGATCAACCAAATTGCTGACATCAACATGACGTGGAAATTTATAGCAGCAGCCAAATAATCTAAAAGCCTTTGGATTCATAGGGACCCATAGAGACCCATAGATATACATAGATACATAGGGAAACATAAGAGATAAAGAGAGGCCCTTAGAGACTGATGGAGACCCATAGATATATATCGGGACGCAGAGATACATAGAGACCCAGAGACTGTACTATTTTTTTTTTACCAGGTAAAGCCCACTTAGCTGTGTAGCTTTTTATTGGATGCGACCTGGCTAGCACAAATGATAGCTCAACCAAATGGCTGATATCATCATAATCATCACGTGAAAATGTATAGCAGCAGAAAAACATACATAGAGACCCACATCGATACCTAAACACCCATATACATACCAGACCCATAGAAATACCTAGACACCCATAGAGACACATAGATATACATAGTGAACCATAGAGACCCATAGACTAAACGATTTTTTTAATTTTACCAGGAAAGGCCCCACTGAGCTAAGTAGTTATTTGTCAGAAGCCACCTAGCTATTACAAATGATAGCTGAACAAAGTGGCTGATTGCAATGTGGATATTGATATCACCCAAATACGCTAAATGCGCGATGTTGATTCTAAATGTGGAGTGAAAAAAGAAAACCAGAGGCCCCAGAGAAACATCCACACAGCCACAGAGCGAACACACGAACTCCAAATATACAGGCGTCAAGGTCATGATAGAACCCCGACCTGCTGTATACCAGGCGAGGGAGTCAACATCTCATAGCCACCGTGGCGCCCACACGCACACACGGAGTGGCTCATGGCTCAGGGAGCCAACTGTGGTCCCCGCTTCTCCGCAGGTATCAGTGGCCGGAATCAGGGGTCGCATCACGGGCAAGTTCGCCCGCCTAAGGAAGGCGCTGGACGAGGATGAGAGGGAGGCTCTCCAACGCGTGGCCGTGAAGGAGCGTGAGCTGCTGTCCCGGATCGAGGAGGACATCGCTCGTCACAAGCGGGAGATTGGCGAGCTCCAGGCGGCGGCCACTCGCCTGCGTGCTCTGGAGCACGAGAGGGACTCGCTCGCCTTCCTGCAGGTGGGGAGCGCCTCTGTGGATTCGCCGTTTGGGTGTCCAGAACAACAGAGCGGGCAGTGGCAGAGGGACTCGTGGTCCCACGGTAGAGACTTCACTCATGATCTCTCTATCTCTTCCACAGGGGCACCTGGAGGAGATGTGCAGGTACAGATCATTAACGTCTCACGGTTAAACAACCAAAACGGGGCTGTGTGTGTTAGACGGGCTGTGTATGTGAGTCTTAGACACAGGCTGTGTATGTGTATTCGACATAGTCTGTGTATTTGTGTGTTAAACACACATGTTGTGTGTAAGACACGGGCTGTGTGTGAAACACGGGCTGTGTGTGAGACAATGGCTGTGTGTGAGACACGGACTGTGTGTGCTATGGATGCTGAGTGTTCCAATGCTGTGGTTAAACGAGGCTGTGTGTGATGCTGTTGGTGGTTGTCCCAGGAGAGAGACCCCAAAGGAATCTGCACCCCCACCTCCCACTTCACTGGACATCACCACGATCCGCTCCCTTGAAAAGGTCGTGAACAGATTCCTGCCTTTCGCTTGTGAGTTCCTCAGTCTTGAACGCGCATGTCCCGCTGTGTTGCACTGCACTTCTGTGCTCCCCACCTTCATCAACTTTTCATTTAATTTTACCAGGCAAGGAACCCACTGAACCATGTCGCTCTCTTTTGGAAGCAACCTGACTATCACAAATGACATCTCTACGAAGTGGCTCAACTCGTGGATATTTATAGCAGCAGACAAATCCTCTGAATGCAAATTGATTCTAAATGTGGAGGGAAAAACGCGAGGAACCAGGGAAAAATCCACGCCACACCACGGGGAGAGAGACGCAAACTCTGAAAGAGAGCGACATGGATCAGTGGGCTCTACCTGGTGAAATATAATTAGTTTAACAGTTTCAATATTATACTAAACCCTACTGCTGTGTACTGGGGCAAGTGCTGTTAGCAAGCAGCACATCAGCAGAGGGCAGTTCAGCGTGAACCATTGTTGTACTGCACATCTACGCATCTACGCTCACGATCCCCACCATCGCCAACGGGCACCGACGAGAGCGGTGAAGTATGGTCAAATAACCCCCCCCCCCCCCAGGAAACGCACGGCGCGTGGAGACGCTCATCCAGCAGCGGAGTGACGTAATGTCTGTGCGTGGATGTGAGTGTGGGAGGCTGTGGTGGCTATTGTACAGGAGTCGTGTTTGTAGCGAGACGCTGTGAGAGTGGCATTAACATAGTGGTGCTGGCATCATCACCACTGTTCACTACCACTCCACACACAGTCATATTAGTGTAGTACTATTTCATTATTTATTATTATTCACTAATTATTCACGAGGGATTATCAGTATGTGCACAAGACAGTCGCTTGTGTTGCGATATAAACGTCGTGATCAATTAATTTCCTATTTACGAGACTTTACAAAAAAAAACGAGTATGAATAGAGATACTAACGAATATTAGTTTGTGTACACAGATACTTACGAATATTAAAATGTGTACCCTAACACTAACGAATATTAGTATCTGTACATGATAATAACGAATATTAGTACGTGTACACTAATACTAACTAATATTAATCTGTATACTAATACTAACGAATACTAGTATGTGTACACTAATACTAACAAATATTAGTATTCATAATAAGGTTTTTGGGTTAGATCGCGTTATTTATAAATGTGTCACAACCCTCCACCAACCGACACGGCCAATCAGTAAAAATTGTGTCACGTTGACAAAAGACAAATAGTTCACTACTTTAGTGTTGAAGAGTGAATTCACAACATTTACAATTTGAGTACGACGTTTAGCTGGTAATTGCATTCAGCATCATCGGGCGATTTGCCAAAATAGTGTAGCCCTCCACCTGCACCCCGTCTTTAATATAGAACAGCAGGGTAACGTCATAATTTAACCCAATCAGGTGCAGATATCAGTGACGGAGGGGGCTTTTGTAATTATAGAATAGATTAGTAATCAGTTAATTTTCGATTTAAAGCTTTCGTGACTGCAGGGATTCATATTCTTGGTTCTTTCGGTAAAGTGACTTTACCGAAAGAACCAATAATATGAATACCTTAAGTGTTATGATTCCTCTATAAGGAGTTGAAATGGGTATTATTTAATAACTGAACACAATCACTATACCCAATCAGGTTCAGAAATCAGAAGTGGAGGAGGGGGGGGGGGTGTTGTAGTTATATATTATGTTAGTAATCAGTTAATTAGTATGTGTTTCCCCTTATAACCAATTGTAATTGTAATATGTATTATTTAACAATTCGCTTCCAGGCCGCAATAAGCCTGTAGCTGTCAGAGCGATTACAATTATTTGTATTTCTCTCAATTTAAATTGATTCTCTAATTAGTCTTGGCCTGTAATAATTATTTTACAGAACACTTCAACGTTATCAAAATCAATTGACTGGCCTCGTTGGCAAGCATGTTCTGCCACTGCCGACAGTTGTGTTTGAGATCATTGAATTTTTATTAGGTGTTCTTTTAGTCTCAGGCTGATGTTACATCCCGTCATTCCAATATAGCATCTGCCACATAAGCAATTAATACGATATACACCTTCTGTTGATAATTTAGGTAATTCGTCTTTAGTACAATAAACTAGTTTTTTATTTTGTTTACTGTACCAAATCTTACTTTAATGTTGTGCTTTTGCAAACCACGGCTTATGTGTCAGTTACTCCTGAGATATAAATGTATTAATTGTTTCAATAATCTGATGACTTTCAACAGTGTTGCTTTGCGATCGTGATTTGGCATTCAGTGCTCTGTTAATTTGAGCATTATTGTAGCTATTCTGTCGTAGTGCTTCTTTAACATGTGAAATCTCTCTTCCGAGACTTTCACCATCTGACACTGTCTTAGCCCGATGTATGAGCGTCTTGATAAGAGAGAATTTCTGAGCCGGGTGATGATGCGATTCTCCATTCAAAGAGACATCAGTGTGTAAAACAAAAGTGATGTGATGTGTTAACCACAGCCGAACGAATATTAATGTGTACACTAATACTAACGAATATTAGTATGTGTACACAGATACTAACGAATACTAGTTCTGTATGCATTTGGGATACACGTGATAATCAAAGTGTTACGTATTAACGTATCACGTCCTGCGGTATGACCACAACAACACAACAGACAACACAACACCAACGTGCGTGTGTACACGTTACGTGCACTTCTCGTGCCGCTACTGCGCACGCGTCGCCGTGACTGCTGTGCGAGCGTCATCACTGTCCTCACCACAGATGGATGCTCACCGACTCTGGACACCAACTCAGCCCGCGATCTCCTCCAGATTTCTTCGGATCTCAGGACGGTGACTCTGAGCAATGTCAGCCATTGTCGCCCCCATCATCCACTGCGCTTTGAGTACCGGCTACAAGCCCTGTGCTCTGATAGCTTCTCATCGGGTCAGCACTACTGGGAGGTGGACGTGGGGAAAGCGCTGTGGTGTCGGGTTGGAGTCGCGTACGGGACGATCCCACGGAGAGGGCGTGGTGATGAGTGCGGCCTAGGAGGGAGTGGCGTCTCCTGGTGTCTACAGAAACTTGGTGACAGCTTCTCAGTGCGGCATGGCGGGGTAGAGACCTCACTGTTGGTGCAGGAGCCTCCGATGATAGTCGGGGTTTATCTGGACTGGGACGCAGGGCTGCTGTCGTTTTACAATGCCCACTCCATGGCGCCGTTGCACTCGTTCCATCAAAACTTCACTCGGCCCCTACAGCCTGGGCTGGCAGTGTGGGGTAATGATGGTGCCTCAATGAGGATTCTGGATCTGAGTGGTGCGTCCTGAGAGAGGTGAACGTGAACAGCACAGAGGGCAGACGCCACGACGCACTGCGCTCATCACCTTCGTCATCGCCACGCGCAAGTGCCACGCCTGTGTGTGCTGGTAGCTCTCAATCACAACGGGGGGGGGGGGGGCTGAGCCTAAACAATCCTCACAACGTTCATAGGGGGGGTTGGGGTAAAATAGGTAACGCTGTGTGTGTGTGTGAAGCCAACGTGGATGTATTCACCCTTCCAGAGGAGAGTGACTGTAGTGTAGGGGTGCAGTGATTAGCAATGGTGAACTGGGATGTGCGAATACAGTCGTGGTATCATGAGTTGTGGGAGAGATACAACAATAATAATTTTAAAAAAGTACAAATGTACATGTATGACAGTGGCGTTGTAACGCTTGTATCTACGATTCTACAATAAAAAACACAAAACACAAACAACAACGTAGTTGTGCACAGCGTCATTCATTCTCACTGCATCCCGCAACGCTGTTCATGAATTAAACACGAGGACCAAATCCTATACACAGCCACTGCCAAGCAAATTAAATCTACAAATTAATAAACAAATAAAGAGATGGTGCCAACAATGTCCGGAACTGTTCAAGTCATCTGCTGCGGCTGCGTCATGGGCGTGGTGACGTCACCAGACACACACACCCCCTCCCCACCGCGGTGATGACACCACGCACGCTCCCCCAACGCAATGACGTTATCACGCACGATCCTCCAACGTGCCGACATCACCACGCATGCTATCCAAACGCGGTGACGTCACCACGATGGCTCCCCCAACGCGGTGACGTCACCCCCCCCCCACGCCCGTCCTTTACCACTGCACCATCTTCTTCTTGGTTCTTTCGGTAAAGTCACGTAGAAGGGAAGTAATAAAATAATAAAAATAAAATATAATAAAATAATTCTCACGACGTTTCGGCCACAACGCAAGCAGCCGTCCTCAGGTGAAGAACAGGTCTGTCGAGAAGACAGAGTCCGAAGGTTCCTCTACTTTTTATTCATTTATTTACGATGTACATATTTTTCATGTTATATATTAATTGCGTGTTGTTTCACTTTTTTTTCCCATTCAGTGTTAGCTGCTTAGGTCGTGATGGGTTTTTTTCAATTATTGTTCTATGTCCAGGTCTGTCCAGGCGACAGCGTCTGAATGAAACAGCACACGTGCTTGGAGCATATATATAAGCTGGGTTGGAAGGGGGGGAAAGGGCGCCTTGACACAAGAATTTGCATATCAAGAGGAATTTATCATATTTATGGGAAATGCAGGTATGTGATTAGTACTACTTATGCCCGTGCATTATGCAGGATTAGCAGCATCAACGGGAGGGGATATGGGAAATGTAGGTATGTGATTAGTACTACATATGCCAGTGCATTATGCAGGATTAGCAGCATCAAAGGGAGGGGATAGGGGTAGCATTAATAAAGGGAAGAAGTGTTAATAGTATGTAGCTGCAGTAACTAAAACCACCACGTAAACAACTAAAGTATAATCTACATAGTATCATCAGTATACTAAATATACTCTACAATAAGCTGAGTTACTAACAGTAAGTAATACATTACAATTCTACGTCGTAAAAAAATATAATATGCTTCAATCTAAACTTTATTCTCTTACATCACACGACCAACTCAACATTAAATTATATACTGTATCGCTATAAACCACCTTATACATTGTAATATTACACTATGTATTATTCTACCCACCCTAATGTATATCACTCTGCTGTATATTCACTATAAAATTACGATACTATATATTACTTTGTACATTGTATTAAGCATATAAACAACCACCACAACCACCAACAACAACCGGCATTCGCCACTAAATGGTGGTGACGTCACCACGATGCTTGTGCCAGGCCATGTGCACCTTGAGGCCACGTGAAGTGTCGAACGCCCGCTTGCAGGAGATCACGGGGCAGACCCAGGTGCCATGGGTAGACAGACTAAGATGACTTAGATGAATGGCTGATGCACCACCTGTGCCCCCTACTGTGCCAACTTGCTGTGCTATAGCCACCCGGCGTTAAGCTCATTGTTGTGAGCGTCGCTCCTCCGCCCTCTTTTGTTGGTGGAGGGCAACTTCTTCCATCTGCCCAGTATCGTCCTTCACGAGCCTCCTCTACTGAGGCCGATCTTGACACTGCTGGTACCAGTCATCGGCAAGTCCATTCAGCTCCACATCCTCCTGTACCACGTCAATCCATCTCTTCTCTAGCCCGTGCTGCGCCCGTTTAGCCCCCTCAATCCGGCCGTACAAAAGCTGTTTAGGCATGCGGTGGCTGGGCATGCGGGCTACATGACCCAGCCCACGCAGCCTTGCCTGCCGGAGGAGCTCACCGATGGGACTTTGCCCAGATCTTTCAAGGATTTGTGAGCTCCTCACACAATTCAGCCTGGTTAAACCCAGGATGGATCGTAGGGAGGCCAGCGTAAATGTTTCTAACTCGCGAAGATGTTCCATTAGGGGGGTCCACGTTTTGCAAGCATAGAGAAGGGAGGGAATGACCATGGCCAAGAAGACCTGAAGCTTCGTGTGGAGCGACAGACCAGGCAGCTTCCACACAGCGTTACACAACCGATTAAAAGATATTGCCGCTCGACTGATTCGGAGTGAGACCTCCACTGCCAAACCCGGAGCCGGTCATGAGCCCACTGCCCAGGTATGAGAAACTCTCCAATCTCTCCACAACTGCCCCATCACCGATTGGGAGCCATGGGGGTGGAGTGTCCGACAGTACAAAATACCCAGGCCGGTGCTTAGTTTGGTGGGGTTGATGGTAAGGCCCCACTTCTTAGTGGCACGCTCCAGATTCAGCAGTAGCGTCTCTAACTCCTCCTTTGAATGAGCAGCAATTACCAAATCATCGGCATACATAACGTAGTTGACCAATAGGGAGCCATCTTTTGACCGCACCCGGGCATCGATCAGCCTCCCATTATATCTGTACCAAATGGAAAATCTCCCGGTACAGCTATTGAAGGCTTCACGAACCTCCTGGTCAAAATGGATGTCAAATAATGCGGGAGCCAGAGGACATCCCTATCGCACTCCAAGGTGTACAGGGAATGGCTCTGACTCCTGGCCACATAGTTTTACCTGGGCCCACTTACCTTCATGAAGGTCCTTAATGATCGTGAGCAGAGGGTCAGGGACTCCAAAAGTAAGAAGAACAACCCAGATCCCAGGTCTACTAATGATATCATAGGCCTTGACCAGGTCAATAAATCAGAGATGTAGGTCTTGTGGGAATTCCCTACACTTCTGCTGTAGCAGATGGACAGAAAATATTTCATCTGTGCAAGACCGCCCGTTTCTGAAACCACATTGGGGGTCTACAAGCCTCTCCTCAGCGTGCCTAGCAAGGCGATGTTGAAAAATCCTTGCCAGGACCTTTCCCGGCACGCTGAGGAGTGAGATGCCTCTGTAGTTGTTACAGTCTGTGTGGTCCCCCTTCTTAAAGAGGGGGATCACCAAGGCATCCTTCTAATCCTGCTGAACCGATCCAGTGGTCCAGACCATTGTTATGATGTCATGTAGGGCAGTCTGTGCACAAACGCCACCCGCCCTCATCATTTCGCTTGGGAGATCATCTCTGCCCGGTGCCTTTCCTGGTCTCAGACTCTGGATCGCCTTCAGTACTTCCTCAACAGATGGCACCTCAGCCAGCCACTCACAGGGGGTGACTTCTTCTTCCAATTTTTGAGGCACCGCAGCCTCAGCAGGCTCATCCCCACTTTGTGCCACGATTTTTTCCTGACTGAGGGATTTCACCTCCTCCAGGACCTCACAGAAATGCTCAGCAAATCTGCACACCTGTTCCTGGGGGTCAGAGATTGGATCACCGTTTTTCCCCTAATGATGGTAATAGGCGTGTCGTTGCAGGTTACTTTTTTGATGGCGTTAAATAGGGATTTTTGATCGCGGGCCACTGAGGTAGACTCCATCTTCTCAGCAACCCGCGACCACCAACCATCATCGCAGTGCCTCGTGGCTCACCGAACCTCCGAGCGAAGGCTGCGGTAAGCCTCCTCATTCTCTAAAGTGGGATGCTGTAGACGATTAGAGTGGGCCTGTCGCTTTTTCTCAACCATCCTGAACAGCTTCTGTGTCAGCCAGGGTCTCTGGGAAGGTCTGAACCGCGTAACCCAAGGAGCCATTGCAGCTGCATGAGTCACAATCCTAAAACTCGCCCATTTACCCTCGACATCAAGAGGAATGGGGGACGATGCCAATCCCAGCCGCAAGCGATGATGAAATTCTCGCTATCTTTCATCAGATTCCTGAGACCAGGCCACCTTAGGTTGGACTGGGGTATTGGGTGTACACCCACCACCAGAGTGGAAGAATGGCAGGCGCTTCTTACAGATGACTAGTGGATGGTCAGAGGGCAGATCAGCTCCACAGTAGGTCCTGGTATCAAAGACATGGGCTCGCATCCGCTGATCCGTCACTATGCAATCCAGCAGATGTTCTTGCTTGGACCCGGCATGCATCCATGATGTTGTGTGGATGTGAAGATGCCGGAACAGCGTGTTGGTAATTATTAGCCCATGGGCTGCACACAAATCTAGCAGGCTCCTACAGTTGTTTTTGAGCTGATCTGACCCATGCCTTCCAATCACTCCAGACCAGGTACCAGCATCATGACCAACTCGGGCATTGAAGTCACCCAACAAGATGACTCTGTCCCGAGGGGCCACTTTAGCCAGCACCTGTGACAGGCGGTCACCGAAGGCATCTGACTTATCGGCCTTGCCTGCATCCCTCCACGGATGTTCGTCTTTGGTGGGGGCATAAATAACCACGACCACCACTCATCGCCTCCGTTTTATGGGAAGGCGAGCCCAAAGTAGCCTGGGGCATACAGCTTCCCACACCTCACCGCCACACTCCCATGCCCCCTTCATTCTTTTATTCAGAAGAAGAGCCATACCCTGTTGTTTGGCAGTCTCCTGCTCCGAGTAGAGGACTGTCCAGCCCGCATGGTGACAGGAGCCAGAGCCGGTCCACCGGACCTCCTGAATGCCACAGAGATCCAGGCGATACCGGTCCAACTCCCGACAGAGAAGTGGCAGCCTCTCCTCCGCAGTGAGCGTTCGAACATTCCAAGTGGCCATCCAAAGTGGTTTGTCGTTGTTTTTGGAGGAGCCCAGAGGGTAAAGATTCAAAGGTTTGTACACGAAGCCATACAAATATACAAACACAGACATTATTTCAACCGTGATGATGGGTACAAACTTAGTAATCATTGGAAAGATGTTATTAACCACGCAAAAAAGACTTAATTACACTTTTTTGGACCATCTTATCTGACAGGCACTATTTTACTTTACTTTACCGAGTGTTTAACAGTAATCTCTTCATTGTTCAGCCAGCA